ACATTTCTTCTCACATCTTCTTGCCAGCGGCTTTTGTGCTCTCATTTGTATACGAATCTACGTGATTTCGTATATCGCCGATTACATCCGAGATTGCTGACCAATCCTAGAAGTTTGTTCACTACCTCTCAAAATAGTACATATCAGTGCAAAAATGCGGAAATACAAACCGGTTCCGAGCCGTCAACAGTCCTTGCCAAGTATTCGATGCCAGTCAGATGAAAGCCGTCCACACCACGATCAATCCATGAAGAAAGCACTTCCTGAAGCATGTTACGAGTCTACTTGCTGATTCTAGAATGACAGTCTTGTTCAAATCACAAATCAATTTCATTCAACATATAAAACAAGAAAAAATCCTCTAAAAATTGTTTTCAGTTTCATGTACTTTTGAGTTTCATATAGTTTTGAAGCAACATGGTATGTGTCTAAAACTTAAGTAGCAAACAGCTACGGTTTTCAAATTTTTTTCAACTCTAAGACCAGACTATCAGCTCTAGAAAAAAGGACAAAATTTAACTAGAGACTTTAAGGTTAATGAAGAAAGATGAATAGAATTGTTGTGAAAAAGAGTCTAAACAATTAAGAAACCCGATTCATCCTCTACTCTACACCATTTTGCGTCCGTTCTCACGAATTTTGATCACTTACGTGGTTACCAATTTTTCTATAATTTAAATTTGAAAACTAGAAACCAAACATGGCATTAAGGAGACTAGGCCAAAAAGAGAGTAGTCTGTACTTTGCGATTTGCATCAGAGACTTTGAGATGTTGTCAGACGCTATCACTGAAAACGTTGCAAAATTCGTTGACTTGAAGATTTTGCACAAGAATTGCAAGCTCAAATTACGATTAGAACTAGGAGCATCCTCGAAAAAGCCAGTAGTCTGAGTATCATGCCTTTCACCTTCACCTATTGCCAAATCAACAATAAGTACACACTGTTACCAGAACCTAACTTTTTTCAATTAAATTTTCAAAGTTCACTTAATTGCGTATTCTAGTTCTTCCATAATCCTGATGTTGTCAGTTATCCATAATGGTAAAAACTCACAAACATATGAGAGCGTAGATCTGAATTCTGCCAATTCAACACAGCCGCCTTTTTGTTTCCCTTCTCGTGCATGTAATACTCTTTTTCATGTTTGGTGAAGTAATCAGCCGCTCCTTTCGCCCCCCAGTGGTAGAACTAAGAATGGAACGCAAATATAGTCTGCCCGCTACATCCAGTAAGTACATAATGTGACTCACTCCAGAATAATTCTTATTCTCAGGCAGGCTTCTTTTTGCCGATTTTAAGAACCAGTCATGTTCAGTGGATGTTGTAGATATTGGTAGATTCATGACGAATTTCATGCCTATACAATGATTATAGGTCTTGAAAATACATACATGCCCTTAGTAAACTTTACCTTTGTCGTGAATTTCATCTATCGCTTTGTCAGCAACCTGATTTGCCCCAAGGGCAGGATCCATTTGATTGTAGCTTCGTACAGCGTTTGAGAAATTGTCACTGATTAAGAACGGTGATGGCCAGACAGTCTATGAGGAGT